GCGTGTGGTGTGTGTGGTGCGTGTGGTGCGTGTGGTGTGTGTGTGTGTGGTGGTGCGTGTGGTGCGTGTGGTGCGTGTGGTGCGTGTGGCGTGTGGTGTGTGTGTGTGTGTGGTGTGTGTGTGTGTGGCGTGTGTGCGCGTGTGCGTGTGGCGCGAGTGGTGCGTGTGGGGTGTGTGTGTGTGTGTGTGTGTGTGTGTGTGTGTGTGTGTGTGTGTGTCTGTGCTGTGTGTGGTGCGTGTGGTGTGTGGTGTTTGTGGTGTGTGTGGTGCGTGTGGTGTGTGTGGTGCGTGTGGTGCGTGTGGTGTGTGTGTGTGTGTGTGGTGCGTGTGGTGCGTGTGGTGCGTGTGGTGCGTGTGGCGTGTGGTGTGTGTGTGTGTGTGTGTGTGGTGTGTGTGTGTGTGGCGTGTGTGCGCGTGTGCGTGTGGCGCGAGTGGTGCGTGTGGGGTGTGTGTGTGTGTGTGTGTGTGTGTGTGTGTGTGTGTGTGTGTGTGTGTGTGTGTGTGTGTGTGTGTGTGTGTGTGTGTGTGTGCGTGTGGTGCGTGTGGTGCGTGTGGTGTGTGTGTGTGTGTTGCGTGTGGTGCGTGGGTGTGTGTGTGTGTGGTGTGTGTGGTGTGTGTGTGTGTGGTGTGTGTGTGGTGCGTGTGGTGTGTGTGGTGTGTGTGTGTGTGTGGTGCGTGTGGTGTGTGTGTGTGTGGTGCGTGTGGTGCGTGTGGTTCGTGTGGTGCGTGTGGTGTGTGTGGTGTCTGTGGTGTGTGTGTGTGTGGGATGCGTGTGGTGTGTGTGGCGCGTGTGGTGCGTGTGGTGTGTCTGGCGTGTGGTGTGTGTGTGTGCGTGGTGCGTGTGGTGTGTGTGTGTGTGTGTGTGTTTGCTCATGAAAAAAAGGTGCCTTTTTGGGGTAGCGAGAAATCACTGAAAAGCCTAGCTTTTGGGGGCCCACATCTTGATACCTAGTCTCTCCATGACCCTTAATTAAGAAATGGGGTCATGACCCCTTTCTTGTGGGTAATGACCCCGTTTTTGAAGGTCATGGGGAGTCTTGTATCAGGCGCACACAGCCGCCTCCGTCAGGCGACTGAATGACAGCTCCCGGGACCCCTGGATGATTTTGGTCAACATGGGCACCCGGCAAGACATTTGCTCTCCCTGTGTGCCGCCCTTGACATCATGCTTTAAAAAAGCTCCCTAACGGCTCCCTTCCAACCACTAGCCATGGGGCCGAATGAACAAGTACAGGGTTCACACAAGGCCTGCTCCAGGCATGGGTTCAAGAGCTACCCATTCAGGCGTGGGGAGAACCAGCCTGCTGCTCTCCTGCGGCCCTATGCACAAAAACAAAAGCTTCAGGAACTGGACTGCTTCTGCATCCTGCAGCATTGCAAAGCGTGCAAACGCGCAGAACTGCCCTAAACTGCTTTGCAGGTGTAAAGACGGAACCAATACTCTTTGGGATGGTCACACGGCTTGAGTAAGCAGCTTCCAGATTGGTCTGCCTCGGATTAGTATGGTCCTCCAGATTGATCCGAAGTTGACATTAGTCTCCAGCAGGGGACCATTACACGGCACTGCTCTACTGCAACAGATCTTTGGCCAAGTTTGCATTTGGTTTGCGTAGCGTGCGTTGGTTGTTTTGCCTCCACTGTTACTTGCTGCGTGTCTGCTGCACGTACAGCATTGCCGAGGCTGTGTCCACTAAAGCTTTCTCAGAATGATCCTCCCAATGGTTGTTGAACGGGAAGCAACCCTCAAAGTACAACGTTCACTTTCATGGTCCCAAGAATGCGTCTGTTTCTGCGTTAGCTGCACAGGGTCGCCTTTGTCCCAACGCTCCGCTGAGTGTGCAAGTGTTTCTCGGCCAAATGCCAGCCTGGTTTGGGACAGAATTGGTTTGAGCTGCTTTTCAATTGTCCGTAAGCTTGCTTGTGCTCAGGAGGGAATGAGGGAATGACCCCTAGAAACAATCCCCTATGATTTCCTCTAAGGGGATCCCTAGGTTCATTCCCAACACCCGGAAGGGCATTGCCTACCTATCGCACCAGCAGGCAAGGAGTCAAGTCTTGCCAATCCCGGGGCCAAGTCTTCAAAGTCCTGAGGGCAGTTGATTCCCCGCAACCAAAGGATGGGTTCTGAAAACAAAGGAGCTGCGACATCTGTCAGCCCATTGCGGTGGTGGATCTTTCATTGTAAAACATTTGAGGACGTTCCCTTTAGTGATGCATGGGAATGTGGTTCTCTTCGCTGTGTGCTCTTGCACTCTTCCTTTGGTAAAATCAATACGGTCAGATCCGGCAAAGAAACAGATGTCACAGCTAGAGTACCCCCCAACTACTAATTCCAACCAGAACAATCGTGAACTGCTGACATGCAAGATCTGTGCAGTTGTGCCAAAGGCAATCTGCGCAGTACCACACACATGTTCTCATCAGCCCGACAAAATTGCTTGCTTCACCGGGCCCGCTCCCTGGTGGTTTTAGGAACTTTGAGCCCCATATCCTCCCCCTAAGAATAGACCAACGATTTGGCCAGTGCTCTCATTCTGCGGCAAGAGCAGCAATTGCCGAGCATCCTCGTCTCTGACGACCATGGCCTTGAGTTCCAGGTTTGAATCTCTGGCAAGGGAAACAAGGTGATCAGTGTTGGACCTACTGGCAACAATCAGCATACAAATGTGCTCTACCAGAAGACTAGCGTGCATGACCCCATCGCCCAGGAACGAAGCGCTCTCGCACCTTAGGTAGATTCAAGAGTAGTGCTCTATTGTGTGATGATTTTTTTTTTCCAAAAGGTACGTGTGGCAGGTGCGGAACGTAGGTACGCATGATGAGTGCGGGTACGAGGCGCGGCTGCGATGATTGGGTGCGTGTGTGAGGTGCGGGTACGCGGTGCGGGTACGGGGTATTTGCCGCGTAGCGAATTAGCGCCTGATTTAGCGGCTGATTTGGTCTTAAATCAGGCGCCAATTGGGTATGTGGTACGGGAGCGGGCCAAGGGTGCGGGGGGTACGGGCGCAGCGAACAGGTGCGCACCGACACATTGCACCTATACACCGTACCCGCAGCGTACCCGCACCTCAGACACGCACACAACCATCGCACCCGCACCTCGTAAACGCACTGGTGATGCGTACCCACCCTTTGCACCTACTGGTCGTACCTCACGAGGAGGCACAAGAGACAAGAGTTGTTTCACGTTTAGTGAGTCTAGATAACTCGCACCACAAAAATCAAATTGCTTAAGGGGGGGGGGGGGCGATGCTCAACTTAGGGGATGGGACATCGACTAGTGGGCCGAATTTCAACGACTGAAACTCTCTGAATGGTTGGTCAGTCAGCCTCGCAAGTGCATCGTCCAATATCAATGGCTTTACACTTTGGAAAGGACAACCCCTCGTCGGATGGCAGTTGGGTAGCGCCTATAAGAGTCATGGACTTGCTCTACCAGAATGAATCAAGGTCTATATGAAGGCATATTGATTGAACTAGTGCAAGCCCAACCATTTAGGGGGGAACCTAGAGTTGAGGCACACCCATTACAGGGCCTTGTTAAACTCCCCGCCAAGCCGGCTGGCAGAACCCCTCAGCAACGGGGAGCGCGTAGATCACGCTGCTGTGCCAGCCATGTGGTTCCCCACATGGGTGTGTCTTTAGTTTTTTTTTTTTCCCCTGGGTTTGAAAGGACACAAAAACGAAACCACCAATCTGTTCTCTTTTTTTGGGGGGGGCTCCCCTTGAGAAAAAAAGAACGCATCATCTACTTGAGGACGGTTTCCACTCGGCCTTCTTGCTGGGCATATATTGTTTTGCACCAGTTTCCCATACAAGGCGATGAATATGCTTTTGTCTGGATGTGGCTGCCTACGAATGCGGACTTTTTTGTAGTCTGGCAGATGTTGCTCGTATTTGCGTCGCCACTTCAACATGTCTGACAATGCCACTTTACGTCCGCTTTGCCGATGCATTCAATGAATTAAAATCGCAACCTAAACTGATATTAGCAAAGCTGGAGACGGGTTCGACACGGCTGAAGATTTCAGCCTTGTTTCTCTTCCATGTGGCCCCGGATTACGAAAGCTGACGGATTTTTGCGGGTTCGCAAAAAATGAAGGATCCCCTCAACATGCGGACAGCCCCAGGGGCGCCCTGTCAATCAATCTGGAATTTACAAATCCTGGGTGCCCTTTAGCACCATCCAGAAGGCCCTGTTCAAAAGCAACTCCCCAATAGGTTGAGGGGTTCGGAATGCCTCTGCAAGCAAAACAACTCGGCTTATCGAATCATCCCCCCCTGCTGCGAGACCATCAATCGCAAAAGGCACCGCCGGCAGTCAAACGCATTGCCCCTGTCCCTGAAACCGGCCTCGCTCTCGCTGGCATGTTATGATGCGCTTGAGCCAAGTCGACGGTGTGTTGGCGCAGGTGTGCAATCATCAGCCACCACAACGCTCGGATCTCACAATGTTTCATCACACCGACGTTTTGTTGCAGCTGCCTTCGCGAACATCATGACGTGGCCAGGCTTTGTGAACATGTCTGAAGAACGACACTGATTGAAACAAAACATGCCTTTGCCCATCTTTTTCGTCAAACCGTGTTTGCTGGTGCTAAATTCCTATACGACTACATCCAACATACTTCTTGCCGTCGTGCAATGATGTCGAGGTGCGACATACTCTTCAATCTTGGTCATAGTGCTGCTTCTTCCCATGCCGCAAACCTGGTAGAAAAGGGCCACGTGCTTGGGATGGACCATTTGAGGGGAACGCACCAAAGCCAGAAGGGGCAAAATGTTGCACTGAACGTCGAGGTGGAATTTCCAAGGCCAGAGGCTTTTCTGAGGCTCTCAGCTACACATCCCACGCCTTTTGGGGGGCCCCTTTTTAAAAACTTGTTCCACCTCTTCAGGTTACCTGGTGGAATCCGATTCTTAGGGCCCCTTTTGGTCCACTTGGGTCACCTCTTCTGGTTGGCCCGCAAGGTTCGGGGTCGCGCCCCCGGATCCGGCTCCTGAGCTTGGTCCGGCCCCGGACCCACCTGGGCCACTGTCTGATTCGTGGAATCGCCCCGAAGGAACTGCTCGAGACGAGATGGGAGTTACGGAGACACCAACTTTGTGCCTCTCGGACGATTCTGGTTAGAGAAAAACGCAGCTCACGCATCCGATAGGTAGTGTGGAGAAATCAATGCCGCAGAACGCAACACATGGTAAAGTTTATGTCGGGACCCAACAAGCAAACCCTTACTACAACTGCGTGCTCTTACCTGCCTCAAGAGAGTCAGAACCAAAATCTGGCATTTAACATGTCTACTCAAAGTCATGCAAAGAATCACAGGGCGGCTGCACCTATTCACAGTTGGGATTGCTTTGTAGAAAAAAATAACATTCCCCGGTTTGATTGTGGCCCAGCGTGTCCTGTCAAAGCCACTTTGATGCTCAACCACCTCAGTAGACTACAACTATGGTTGTGAGACATCAGGGGGTAGTTGGCCCTACTGTAGGTGGACAAAATCCTGCACGGTTTGGCCACAGTATTATGCATCACGTCCTGAGCTAGTGAATTGCCCGCCAAAAAAACCGAACCAAACTTGCTGTAAGCCACTACAGTGGTCCAAAACCAATAAGTGACCAAAGTCCAGGGAAGAAACATGGCTCCCGCCCCTCTGTTCGACTCCGGGACGCGCACCAACACAGCTCGCGACAACCAAAACCGCTTTGCCGAAACGGAACTCGGGTGCCGTGAGATGCGACTTTCAGGCGCCAGCCAACGACCCCTGGTGGAGTTGGCGATGGTGGAGCGGCTGCCCTGCGCGAGCCACCCAGCCACTTCACCGAGCTCACAAGAAACCGCTGCATGGGTGGCTCGTCTGTTCTTTGAGGGTACACTTCTTGCTGGTGGTTTGAAAGGCAAACCAAAAGGAACACCTCAATTTTCTATTGGGGGGGGGAAAGGGGGTCGTCCAAAGAAAGGGAACACGCTCACATACCAAATCGCACAGGCGCCCAACACACATTGACTGGGTCTATCACGATGCGAGAAGAGCAACCCCTTCGGGCGCGGCTCACATGGGTCACCAACTTGGCAAAACCCTGGGATGCAGACCCCCCTGGCCCCTTTAACTCACATGTTCAGTGGAATTCCATGCGAAAAAAGAATCGGCATCCTGTTTCGGGTGGTTGAGGTTAAAGGGGAACCCTTCCCCAAAAAAAAGTCACTGGGCAACTGAGTTAATGTGTGTTTCATTCAACCAGAAACATGGTTTCATGACAGCATAATCAAAGAGTTGTTAAACCTGATGCTCAACATTGCCAACATGCTTCTGTTTTGGATTTCGATAATTTTGCAGAGCGCAGTTGAGTCTGAATCTTGAACTATTATCGGGGAGCGAGATGTGCGCTGGCACTACCACTTTTTTCCACTCCCACCAAGGGAAACTAAACCAAGGACCCCATTCTATCCAACTTGGCTTCAGCCCTTGCGAGTTCTGAGCACTGATTTCTGATACCAGCGGGACTACGCATCAAGCCGCGCTCAGGTTACAAGCAATGCTATTGGTCACTGAAGGAAACATCATTAAGTAAGCGTAAGCTTGTGGTCTTGTGAGCCCCAAATCATGCGTTAGCTTTGTGCTGCTGTTGGCATGCTCATATATGGGAGTCCGGCCTCAGCAACAAACTGTGCCTGGCCCAGCGGCCATGTGCTAAATGTGCTAAATGTGCTAAACGTGTTGTGTGCTTTGCTGCCTGGAGAATCGTTGCATCGGTTGTGGGATTCTTTATTGGCAGGTTGTTTGTCGTTGCTTTAGTTGGTGCTGGCTTACTTGTTTTTGCTACCCTCCCTCACACTAACGCGGCACCGGGCAAGGGGTCCCTCCAAGAGGAAACTGATCTTCCAGGTACCCTCCCACAGGTGCCATATTAGTGGAAGAAAGGGTATATCTTGGCGACATGTTTGGATTTGTTGATCGGACAAATCATTCCCACAGATGCGGAACGGGCACTGCTCACGGCCCCAGGTCGGGCTGGATTAGTGCCATTGGTCAAACCTTCAAGCCACCATTGGGGGGGTTTTGAGTTGGTGCCTTTTGGGCTTAGCTTGAAGGAAAACATTCTGAAAACCCTTTGGCCATTGTTCAGGTCCCCTTAATTTTGTTTGACATGTCGGTTCTGAATCAACCCCTAAGGCAGTTTACAAGGAGTGTGGCTTGCAAATAAGTGCACAGGCATACCTCCAAGAACCCAACATGCATCTTTCCCGAACAAACAATTCTCTTTCGAGGAGGATTTCAACCAAATACCAATGGTCACCAAATACGCAACCCATTGCAAGGGCCTTTTGATCAATTCCCACATGGGATATCCGGGATATCTCTCGAGATCAGGGGCCCCTTCAGGCGGCGGGCCGCTTTGGTTTCCCATTTAAGCGCAATCCATAAAGCGTGCCCGCATTAAACAGGGACCAGACACCCCAACCATTGGACAAAGGCAACCGAGCGAATTGGACTCCATCCACATAATTCGGATCAAACTGCTGAACCGGCAGACCCGAACAAAAATTGAACCCGTACAAGTGGCATGGTTTGCCCTTCGCTTCCCCTCAACCAAAAGGATGTTGAAAGAAGCACCCTCCAAATATCAAGCTGATTTGGATGTTTCTCAAACTCGGTCATTCAAAGAGGGGTCCCGGGTTCCCGGTCCCTGTTAACCGGTCCCTGAAAAGGGTCGCTCTTTTGCCAACCGTACTATGTTCCATTAGCACTGGCTGATTGCCCGACTTCGCTGGCCTGAACAGTCACGGCAGAGTACATGAAATGCTTCTTTTTCCTTGGCGCAGCAACATGCACAACTGTTCGCGGTGCGAAGTGGATCGAAAATCGGCGAAATAAAACATTGGGTGACCTGTGACCCATGTGCGTTCTAACAAATGGATTCCAAGGTTCGCTACACACATCGTGATCGTCGTGGTCCATTTCCTGGGGAATCCCGGGGATTTGAAGATCAAGGGACGGTCAATCGAAAGCCAGGCCATTGTCTCGCTTCCCAACAATAGTTTGGTGCAGTGCGCCGGCCAATCCCTTGAAACAACCTGTTTATTGGCTTCCCTTTAATGCGGACTAGGCCTTGGTTCTGTAAACAAACATTGCCCCAAGCCTGGCACAGAACACTTTGGAAAATAACTCTTCTTTTGGGAAGGTCGCCGGTGTACTTCCCCATCTGTCTGTGGGTGTTTTTGACTTCAAGTCACGCTTTCGTGTTTGAAAGGGTGGCCCTGACAGCATGTTTATTTTCGGGAACAACAATGTTAGGGTGCAGAAGATACCAAGGGACAACCAACTGCATATCATTTCGCGTTGAACATATCATTTCGCGCCCAGGACACCAGCCCGCATCTTGACAGCAAACGAGGCATGAGGCTTCAGAACATGGGCACAAACATACAAACCGCAGACTTCCAGGACTGAAAGCTCAACCACAGCACGCAACACCAAGCGTAGCCCGCCGGATTTCTCTGCGCTTGTTGGGTTTTTTGGCTTTTTGTTTAACCTGGTTTTGGGCTCGAAGCTGCCCGCAAGGAAATCAGTGTGTGTCCCTGTGCATGTTTGATATTTTTGGAGTTCATGTGCAGCCTTGAAGCGTTGCTCTTCGAAGTGAAAAAACCTACCAACATTTGGGGTGACAGCTGGACTTAAAAGTCCCTGCAAACTAGGAAGCGACATATGCTATCTAAACGGCATGCCCTGGGATGGGGGTGAGCATGTAGGTAGATCTGTGTGTGTATGTACCCTGGGCAACTTACTTTATGCAGGGACAAACTGGATTTATATATATATATATATATGTATGATTGTATGTAATTCAGATATCACAGGTATGACATGCATATACTGTAGTTTATACTATATCATTCACCAACTGGATTCATGCTGTGAAAGTTACAAGACCCCGAACCCCTCCAATTAATCTGCGAGGGGCCTCTCCTTTGAGGAAAGAGAGAGTGGATGTCCTGTGTCCGTAAACCAACAATAGCCTATATGCAACACGTCTTGTCGGTTGCTTCTCGAACGTTCATCTTAATATCAAAAAAGCTAACTTGAACTTGGCCGGGGTCCCCACCGACCCAAACCCACTTAGGACCCAACCCAACCCCCCCCCCCCTGGAAGCCAAAATCGAGGGAACCCAACAACTGCAAGTGTTTCTTTTGACTTCCCTCAACAAACGTTTTCTTTATATATCTGCTCGACCATCTTAGTAGAATCATCCAAGTAGAAGCATCTTTCTTTATAAAATCCTACTGTGTACCACCTAAGACATCCTAAAATGATTCGATTCCCCTGCAAATACCAACCAACGTTCTGGTTTCCCCCTGGTTTCATTTCGTGGTGCGAAATCCGTTTTTGCGTCCATCCACAGTATGGCTGCGAACTTCCATCGAAAAGGCCCCTTGTACTTGGAGTGGGACCCCACTATAAAGCCATGGGTCAAAACCCCGTACCCCCAGTGAACATTCGATTCAATCCAACCACTAAAATAGGTTCTAACACGGGTAATGCACCGAAAACCCCAAAATGGGATCCCATTGGTTTTGAACCATAGCCTGAGTGTGTACCCACTTCGGATATGGAGTCTGATGTCCACCTCCAATCCGGAAATATCTGGATCGCCAGTCGCGATCGCTTTTTTCCATGCACTTTACCCAGCAACACTTCCATTTGGTTACGACCCCTGGAAAAAATAATATTTCCAGTAGTGATAGATTCCCCTTAAAACTAACAGGGGAAATCAAACATATTCCTTTCAGCAAATGGAAGAACAGTGACTGAAAAAAGCCAGCGCGACTTGGCTATCTACCTAGACTCTCCATGACCCTTCAAAAATGGTTGGTCACCCAAAAGAAAGGGGTCATGACCCAAAAACGACATTTCGGGCCATGACCCAAAAACGACACTTCGGGTCATGACCAACCGTTTCTTACGGGTCATGGAGAGTCCAGGTCGCTTTCCGCTTGGACTCCGGGCCCTTCGGGCACCAGTCGCTCCTCGTTGCTGCCGTGCAGCCCGGCGCCCCGGTAGTGCCTCGGATCACTGGACCCGAAGCTCGCCGAGGTTCGAAAAAACCGAGGCACACACCACATCTGACGTTGGGTTTGGGGAGCAAAAAACATAAGTTCTAGCAGCGCGGTGGTTGCATTTCAACCACTAAACCACAGGAAGCAAAGATGTAACATGTTTCCCAACAACAACCATGACATGGGCGTGGCTTTCTTTGGGGGGGGGGTACCCGTTTTTGGCGGGGTTTGAAGGGAAAACAAAAGGAAAGCCAGCCTTTTTGGAGGGTTCCCGAAAAAGGGACAGACCTTTTTTTTGAACTTCTCAACTTGTCAAGCAGAAAAACAAACACATGAAGGGCCCTTGATTTTCCCCGACGAAAGGCGAAACCTGAACCTCCCTTGCAGCCAAAGGATCTCAATATCAACGAGAAACTCTTAATTGGGACCAACACAATTAGAAAACCCGAATTTCAATGGATTTGCATGGCTTGGCTTTGAACAGCAACTCTAGAAACCTGTAAGGAATGGGTTGACATTGGAACTAGGACTGGTTCATGCACGGACTCTCCGCACTCTAGTTAGGAATGATCGCGCGTATTCTGCATGGGTCTGTCTCAAAATTAGATACCCGAAGTTGGACGGAGCTCCGAGGCAGCCAACTAGGTTTTTGACAGGCCCATATGGGTGTGGCTCAAAATTAAAGAGCTAGGGTTGCGCAGCTTTTTGTTTTTTATTCCATTTGCCAAGGGTGCCATTTTGGTGCATTTTGTGAGCCACAGCCATATGGAAGCAGGACTCCCCTATCGGAACCTGCAAGCAATCGTTTCTTCAAGTCTCCGCATTGAACCTGGTTCTCTTGGGATCTTGGACGCCTTTGATCGACAAGCTACACTTTCTTGCGAGTTATCACAGACACTAGGTCTCGGCGTCTGGTCGGACAGCCTCTGTTTCGGACCGCTTTCGTGTTTTCCTTACACCTCTGTGTAGAGGGCCGTTTCGTGGAGAAAAAGTTGGAGCTCCCATCAACTGACAGAAGCAACTATCAGCCAGGCGTGGTCTGCCCGCGAAGCTCTTGGTCGGAATCCACCTGCAGGTTTCGACGGCCAATCAGCCACACAAAGACGACAAAAGCCACGAAGGGCCACCAGTGGAAGGGACCAGGCCGTTTACTCATGGTTTCTCAGACTGGTGAACCCCTTCCGGGATTGCTGATTAAAGAAAACAAACAGGGAAACCAACCTTTTTAGGGGATCCCCCATTTTGACAGACATCTACATGTGCCATGATGGTCGAAGTATGCAATTGGGCATGGAAACTGAAAAGGGGTGGACATGGGCAACTTGACCATGTGTTTGTAGGAAATTTGGTGAGTTCTCACTTCCATTTTGCCAAGACTACTCATCTAGAAGCAATGCTTCGATCCATGCTTGACACTCTTGCGGGTGCGGTCGTACTCCCTCGTTGGGCGCTATGCCCACATCAATGCTCTGACAATTCACTGCGCAAAACAAGCCAACATGCCGACATGCCAACTCACTTGAAGGATCTGATTCGCAGGAGTCTGCCATCACTTCCTCCGAATACTAGAGGCACCCTTACTTGTAAGAAATGTTTGCTGGGACCCCTCACTGTAATTGAATCAGAGCCCTCATCGACCTGATAATTTCCCAACAAATAAACTTCAAATATTATGAATTACAACATATTCTAGTCCATTCCTTACTGCAATCATCGTACTTGCTGTTTTTTAATTGGGGTGCACAATGGGACAAAAGCAAATGGGGGAATGATCATATCATTTGATGGCAATGCCCTTCCAAGACTTTCCTGGAAGTTAAAGCCAAAAACAACTTCCTAGTGCTTACAAGGGTCACTGGAGCTACAACCAAAACCTGGTATCAAAGGGGTTGACTGTCCCTTGCTAAACTTCACTTACCCCTTGTTTTGATTGTGACTCACTGGCTGTGACCTAGATTTGTTGATACTCCCAAACTTTGTCAACTACACCGAGGCATCTCCTTTTGAGGGATCCGCTTGCGTTCCATGTGAGCATGTGTCACCAAAACAGGTTTAACATGGCCACAATAAACCGGACTAGATTAAACCGACACAAAGAGGGCAGCTACATTCGGCCCAGTCTATAGCTACGTCAGCCTCGATTTGGCGCTGTCTAGTTGAATCTCAAGGGTTTGGTTTGAGAAATCGACATTTAGAATCATCATCAAGAGTCCTTGCCATACCACAAAGGGAACGTTCCCAGTTACCTGTTTCTGAACTTTTGGCACGCCCAAAACAGGCGTGTGGCAACACACATTCTCACGTCATCCTCCTGAACACTACCCCAAAGTGGTCTTTTCATTCTGGTGAAGAAGATAACCCAGACCACCTCTACATGTTTTACGCCAATGCCCGAAACAACCAGGAAAGGACCTACTGTGGATGGACGAAATCCTGCACTACTTTGAAACCATGGTTGAAACCATGGTTTATTAATATTTACAGGGGAATCATCATTTTTTGGGGCTTCTTTGCTGGTGCAGGATTTCGTCCACCCACAGTAGGAAAGGACGCCTGGATCAAGGTGAGGCATCTCGAACATCCCCATAGACAAACATCCTCTGGCTGGTGTATGGGAACTTCCAAATCGTCGATCCGTTTGCCCGCTGGTAGACAACCCAAAGCATCATTGAACCCTCGGAAAGGTTGCACCCCACAATTTGCCTTATATAAGGTCGCAAGACTCTTAGGGAACCCAAACAATCGACAAGGGGTACCCTATCCACCCCCAACATAAATAAGATACCTTCACCCCCCCCCCCTCAACAAAAAATAGCAAAAACCGCAAAACCCCAATTTCCTGCTCCCTCCCCAAAGTCCCCCCGCCTCTTCGTCCAGCTCCGCCTCGTAGACCTCGCAAACGATGCGCCCGTACCTGACGTTCCATTGGGTTCCTTTGGACGCGAGGGAGGGTGGACCACCCTGTTGGTTGCTCGTCATTTCGATGTGTTGGTGTTTTGTTTGGCCGTTTTCAGTCATTGTGCTCTGTTTTGGTGATTTCTGGTGGATGGTGCTCAGCAGGGAATGAGGGAATGAACCTGGGGGTCCCTTAAAAGGGGTCATTCTCTCATTCCCCGCTGAGCACCAGCAAGTCTGCTTAGGTCTTTAAAGGGAAGCCAACAGAAAGACCGAAGCCATTTTGAGACCCGTCCCGTTTGGTTGGTTGCAACTGGGCATCGGCTGGAGGGCAAACCCTGCTGTTTGGGGTTGGGTAGGGAATACCAAAGGAAACCCGACCATCTTAGAAAGCCGATCAAGTCTAAAGCTTTGAGAAGAAACTCTTCCGGCCCTGGGAGGAGGGATTGGGGGCTCCATCTGCCAAGCAGGTCGAACATCCACGGATCAGGGGCTAAGTTGTCAAACACGCGACTTGCTGCGCACCTCATTTGAGGCGCCCCCACATCCCCTTTTGGGCCCTTACTTTGACAGGAGCGCTCTTCATCCTTGTGCAAGGCACTCATGCAGAACCTGGGCTCAAAGAATGGAAAACCAAGTACGACGTCCATTGAAGAGGCAATCAATGTGTCATCTTTGGCTCTGGAAACAAACAGTATTCAGGGTTCTCCGTACCTCACAGTCATCACCCACCAAAGGAATCTCACTTTGAGTTGGCAACCAACTTTGAACTGGCAACCATCCGCCTCAAAGTATAGGAGTTGATTAACCTCAAATGCCCTGTGGCCATGGGAGAAACAGGGCTCCCTTTCTTGTTGAGTCTAAAAAGGAATTGGAACCCTTAACAATGGTGGAAATCTAGGGAGATACAACACGGTGGAAATGCAACGGAAGCCCATGCGGCAGTCCCTGTGGGTGCCAATGAGGAGCAGTTCGTATCGGCCCCCGACGGCTTTTCGGATCCGTCTGGCCAAGTGCGTGGAGAATTGCTGTGGGATGAAAGGGATCATTCCAGGGGTACCTTCCATTTCCATTCTTTCCAGGGATCCTCCTTTTCAGGAAATCATCAAAAACCCAGGAGAAACAGCCGGCTTTTGGAAAGAACGATGGCTGAAAAGAGTGGGGAAGCAACCACTAGAATAATACGTGCTTATCATCATCCTTTGGCCAATCTCTTGCTGCGGAGTACTTGTGGAATCATGAGCACGTCGGCCACACATGAGTAGCCCGACAATTCGTCAATTTTCTTTCTTGAAGCTCCCAGTTCAACCGGCACCTCCGGAAATCACCATGCGCTTACCACTTGCCAAACATGGCAACTAACAGAATTGTACAATCCAACCGTTGAGGACCTCTAGCCAAACCCCCTTTTCGAAACCTATTTGCGTGTGCCTCTTCAAGCAGTAAGAAAACGCTCCCAGAAACCATCCGCGGATCGCACGCGGTGTAGGGCATGGACGGCTCCTCGTTCTTGCCGGATTCCTCCTCAGCCGAATGACTCGCAAAACCCCAAGGTCGGTTTCCAGGGACGTCGGGGTGCAGGTTCCATGCTTGTGTTCCTAAGTTCTAACTCATTGCATCTGATAGACCTAGGATATGGATACCTTTTCTGCCGTCAAATATGGCCAAGGTACCGAATGTTGACCCAGAGTCGGAATTCTCATGTCAACCTGAGGGATTGCCCACACATCGTTTCCCCCTGAAATTGGGCCGCCTCCCATGACTTCTCCCATTGACCAAAATGCGTGGCTCGTGGCCATGCCTTGCAAATCAACCCAACCCGCACCAACAAGTCTCCTCTAGTTAGGCACATCCCGTAGAGAGGATAGAATAAGGGTACCAACTTTTTTCTGTAGTCTATTTTAGTAGGGGAACCCTCCCTCCAAAAAGGGGCAAAAGGGCACTACTGGGGGACCTAGTCTAGTTAAGCACATCCAGTTGACTTCCATTTGGTTAAGACCCCTGGAATAAAAAAAATCACGTAGTAATAGGTTCCCCTTAACAACAACAGGGGGAAATAAAACATATTCTTAAGCAAATGGAAGTTGAGCCTTGATCAATGGAATGTCAATCCGCATCTTACCCAAGGCCGCGATTAAAGGCGACACTTTTAATGAGTCGCGGGGGCCAAACGCCAACTTAGCGAAAGGCGGTTAAGCCGCCAAAAGAGACATGCGGCAGTTGCTGAGAGGCGCACGATCACCTTGGGCTTGCCGAAAAGGAAGTCGCGGTACTCCTGGTCAAGAGTGTCAGGTCTGAGCTACGGACACTGTCGTGGCGTCATGGCTTTCTAGAGGAGATGGGAAGATTGGGCGCTTCGGGCCATGTACACGTCCCAAGAATTCATCGTTGAAGCAGCTTTCGTAGGTGGCTTTATCCTGTGAGAGCTCTACACTCCACATGCCAGGGAAGTTGGCTAGGTATCGCAAGAATCAACACCCACCGTGCCACAGGTCAATTCGTGGCTCCAAGGAGCAACCCCTGCACACCCACAAGCACGAAAGCCACAACCAAACCAAACCGTCCAGGCAAAGCGACTATGGAGGTAGAATTGGACCCCCCCACAAACGCTGGCTGCTCATCAGGTTTTCCTTCAAAACAACCCCGACAGTATGCCACCAAACTCCAAGGCCAACAACTCCAGAAACGCGCAGAAACCAAGCCTAGGCCAAGAAAACTTTGTGGAACAACTTTAAAACCGTCAGAGAAACCACCCGGCCAAACCGGCCCAACCGATCGACCAAACCGATCGCAAGGAGTCCTTGACGTACTCCTTGCCCACAAAGTTCTTGGAGACCAGATACCCCTGAAGCTCCCGGCAGTCCCCAGGCGCAACCTTAATAGGAGCTGGGGCACTGCCCAGCCAGTCAAAGGTGACCTCTGTGCTTTGCTTTGGGGGGAGTCTGACGCTAAAAAAAAAAGGGGTCCAAGACGTGCAAAGCAACCTGCTTGTTGTTTCTTTTATTTTTTTTGTGGGGGGGGGGGGGGGGAGTCTTTAACAACACATATTGAGGGTGATACTGGCGTTTGAAGGGGCAAACTAGTCAGCGCACACCGTAACTCACTGGTGCATCGTCAACATCAGGGCTGTCGTTCGACCCTGTTTGTGTAAAATGCGAGAAACCAAAGGGACTCAACAATATGAATTTTGCAGACCCCACTTAAAGCCAACAGAACCCACCCCCACAAACAAAAACACACGCGCACACACGCAGAAAAAATATTGATATATACAATGCCAAGAGCAGGCTAGCAAGGGTCTAAGCCGGAAGTCAGCCATGCGCGTTGCATGAAACAGGGGCCAAAACGCTCCCCAAAATGGTCAGAAGCGCTGGAGGTCTTTTTGAGTTTGTTCCTTTGACTTTGCCTTCGTGGTTCCACTTACAATCCTGTACCAAGCTCGCTCGCTGATGACCTCAGGTTGGGGGCCCGGGCAATGAGGCTCCCGTCTCGGAGCAGGGCATTCTCCCCGTCCACTGTCACCGCCTCAACCATGCATAGGATTTGAACGATCGGACGAATTGATGGAGCATTGCCGCTGCGGTGGTGAACGGATCCAACCTAAAGGATTCCTCCAAACTGATTTAGTGGTGCATTGATTCATGACATGGGAACTAGTCCCACTGCCCTTTAAATACGAAGCCCTCATTCTGCCCTGTGTAAGGGCGGCTTGAATTTGGAGAATGATCCAAAGAATACACGAATCGAACATTTCACATGGGTCTTGCCCAAAACTCGGAGATCCGCGCAAAGTCTGTGCGGACGTGCAATTTCGGGCTGGATGCCCAGTCACAATCGTTGTTGCGGGTGCATGACGGTTGATCAATCCACCAGGTCGTTGCCTTTCCTGCGATCCAGGGAAGAATCTTTCCTAGGGAGAAGCAAGTATCACCTAGGTCGATGGCATGTGACGTCTTTGCAAGCGTTCCACTCAGAGGCAACTGACATCACTCCAAACAAACATAAGGAGTGCCTTTTGCAGGATTTGCCTTTCACACTCCAAGGGAAATAGCGGGACAGCCTTGAAGAGCATTTCATCACTTCTAGGTGGCGTGTGTATATATATATATATATATATTTCCAAAGGAATTGGTCCAACGGCAAATCCTGGAGCTACCTTAGCCGATTTTTTTGTTTTTGCTTGGACGTGTGCCACATCACCCCTGTTGGATTCCCACCCGTTTGCAGTCAATGCGCCTGTCCTAATCCCAGGTAAGATCTCATTGTGCATGCGCACTGTGCAACGGCGTGTGCAACAAATTAGACGTTCGGTCCGAGGACAACGCAGGAACCAGAACCAAGTGTCTACCTCAGATGCCCGTGGCCATGGGAAAACAAGGGCATCCTGTTTTGCTTGGTTGAGGTTAAAGGGGATCCCTTCCCAAAGAAGGAAAACAGGGCACCACTACTCTTGTGGTTCGGCCAGGCCTTACTTTGGATGGTCAACATTGAGGCTGCGGCACAGGCAACGTGCCGGCGGGAATCATTGGTGACGCGGATGACGTAGGCCTCCCAACGAGGGCGGAACCCGAGAGGAGGGTAACTGGTCCATTAAAATGACATCCTCGCAGACTACCTAAAGAGAAAGGGAAACCTCAAAGGCAAATGTTGAGAACTCATGAAAATGTCCACTATGGAGCCGGTCCTCACAAGGTTTGCCCAAATTGGTTGGCGAGCTTGCCCTGAATGTCAACACCCAGCTCGAACATCTGGTGGAGTGCACTCGATCCTCGATCCGTATGAGTGGCTTTTGGGGAACTCCATCTCGCCAGTCCGAGTGCGCATCTCTGATCCAGCCATCTGAAGTCTCCGTGACACTTTAGGGCGATGTAAAAATATATCCATATCTTTTGGGAAATGTGCAAAAGGTCTAACCTTTTACACGTTTAGTGGAAAAGCCATGTGTTGCCAATGGTGTATGGGGCCGCCCGCTCACACCATGACCTGCCAGGCTAAGTCATCAACATGCCAATTCTGCAGAACCAATGCTTCAGGAGGTTCCGTCCTATCCGCTAACATGGGGGGGGGGTCCAACCTTGTATTCTTGTTTGGCTGCAGTTCCTGACACTTCCATGTTTGTACCTACATTCTGTATACCAGGGCTGTCCTCAGATCCCCTAAAGGTTTAACTTTTAGTGGGTTACATGGAAACCCCCCCACTAAACACCAAGAAGCCAAAAAGCCAAGGAACCGGATGGCCGGGAAGCACCAAGATACGGCTCCTATCTGGAAGGCCACTTTCCTCTGTGGCTCCTTATAATCTTAAAGGGGCGATCGGGTACTTAGTAAGTGGTTGGTAACTATGGTTATAACCCACTGAACGGAGACTTATAACCATGGTAAGTGGGTTATAACCATGGCTACTAACCACTTACTAAGTACCCGATCGCCCCTTTAAGTATGAACACGGACGCAGCCGGGAAAGTCGATCCGATTCGCGCCTCGTCAGGTCGGGAGCATACGTGTGGCACCTGCACCTAGCGAGGCGCCTGAGAACCTGGGGGGCACGACTTGGCGTCTGGGCGTGAGTGCTTCTTGTTCTCTGAGGTTGGGGGGTCCCCACCCGTCCGTTTTCTAATTCTGGGAATTGATTCCTGGTCCATTCTTTTCAACCGTTCTGTCCAAAAACCGGATCCGGTTTCCCTGGGTTTCCGGGGGTTTTCTAGAAAGATCCGGATCCCTGGGTTCAGAATGGAAATGGAAGGTACCCCCAGACTAATGGACCCCAGCAGAGGATTTAGGAAAATGGTCTTCCAGGACACCTCAGTCAGCCTCCATGTTAGTGGATGGGAGGCTACCCTTTTCAAGCTGGCATGAAGGGAAGACTCCCTTTCCCCCTGCTCAAAAGTCGAACATGTTGCCTGCTGAATGGGAAAACCAAAAGAACATGCTTGAAACAAATTAGATGATGGTGAAAGCCCAAACATCCGGTCGAACCCTTCAAAAAGATGACGCAGCATTATTCCGCTTCTTCGTGGCAACCTGAAAAAACGCGTCATCCCAGGCTTCTTCTGGGGGGCCGGGGTATCGCGTCTTTTTCAGGGTTCTGCTTCTGGGGAAACCGGATTTTCAGGTCCCAGGCTCGTCTGCTTGTAACATCTCACAGGCTTGTGATTTGGTAAAAATACCAGTGGCCAGTACCTTAGAGATGAAAGAGTGCCTCTCTGAATTGTACACGAAATCCTCCTCAAACAAGTGTTGAGCCCGAGTTCCTTTCGTCCTCCCGAATCCTCCCTCCACCATTCACAAGCGGGTTCTCCTTGTAAGACGGTTGAATTTAGGCACCCCAACCAAAGAAAGCAGGCTCAAGTTGGAAAGGCTCACAAAGCTAACGTTTGTGAAATCACCCAAACGGGAGGACGTTGTGTCAAGAGAGTCAAGACACGCCCCGAGCGGCTCGTCTCCAAAAAAACGGCGTTTCGGCCTGTTGATCGCCTTCCTCCACCAGCAGGTCGAAGCTGGGATACGGGTCCCGGCGTCGCCCTGTGCAGCGCAAGCTCGACTTGGGGAACAGCCAGCTTCCAGAAGAAGCCGTACGGGACCGCGCGGCTGGAGAAGCGAATATCCTTTACGGGAATACGAGGGACCCTCCTCCTAGGCCAAACAGTACTCGGTTGACGTTGGAAGGGGAGCAAAATGTTATTTTTTAGCAGTTCAGTGGGGATTTCCCACTAAATCTCAATAAGCAAAAATGCAAAATGCTTCCCAACAACAACCATGAGTAGGGAATGCGTGTGTCAGCTCCAGGCCTTGGATCGGATGGCGCTTGGGATCAAGGCACAGCCCGGTCTTTGCAGTGGTGCCATGTTCCCAGTTGTAGCTGGCCAATACGCATGTGTTTTTTTTTTTTTAGCGGGTACTTCCCTTGAACAAAAATAGAGTCACAAAATGTGGTTTTCCTGGCAGTTCTTCTTCAACCCCACCCCCAAAAAAAACGTCAAATAAGCTCAGGTGAGATCCCCAACAGCATGCGGTGCTCTTTTCAGTGCTCGCACCACCCCTCAGCCCTCGCAGAACCTCGTGGAACCCTGGTGGAACCCTGGCGGAACCCTGGTGGAACCCTGGTGGAACCTTACCTCAGGTCCGCCCCGGACCACCCCGGAGCCTATCTGGGCCTATCGACCCCAACACTTTCAGCTGGGGAACAAAACAATCATAAATGGACTCACGAACAACATCTTGCCCTTTGGTTTCCCACTGGGCAACTGAGACAGGGAGCGCTATCCGTAAGGGAGTGCCCAAAGGGGCGCATTGCCAGGCCGGATTCGGATCAAACAAGGGCAAAGTCATCGTGTCGGTTTTGCGGGACCCCCAACCTAGCGGGCTTCTCCTGTTGGTTTTCCGAAGCCAAAAACGGGGACCTCGAAATTCAGATGCGCTGTTCAGCCATGCGATCGATTGCAAGTGCATGTGTGACCCCTAGCCATCTAGCAATCGGTTTTGGCTTCTTTCCGGTGCTTCCTGACGGCCAATTTATGCTAACAAGGCATTGCATACATACTTGAGCTGAAGTTTGTTGCCGCCTGCGTAGCGGGCTTGCCCCGTGCGCCTTCGGGAACCAAAAGAAATCCTGAAACACGGTCTAATTGATTCTGGGGCCAATCACCCCAGCGCTTCCAGTTGCCATAGCCGGCAACCATCATTTGCAATCTCCAGGCTTTACAGCATGGTTTCCTCTAGTAAGTATACTTCCTGCAGTACTGTGGATTGACGAAATCCAATTCGCACCACCTAAGAAACCCTGGTTTCTGATGATTCCCCAACATAAATACCAACAAACGTTATGGTTTCATTCCCATGGTGTCATTTCGTGGTGCGAGCAGCGGATTTAGCATTTCCATCCACAGTGGTGGAAACCCCGAACCTGGCTTTTGGGACAAAAAAAAACTGCCTGGGCACCTGTCCATCGCCGGAAGGTGGACGCCAAGCGTGGAACAGTTTTCTAGGGGTACCTTCCCCATTGTTTCCAGGGATCCGGATCTTTCAAGAAAACCTCCGGAAACCCAGGTGAAACGGCCGGTTCTTGGAAAGAACGCTGGTTGAAAAGAATGGGGAATCAACCCCTAGAATTTGACCTCTGGACCGAACCGGGAGGAATCAAGAGGTGACATCGATTTGCTCTCGGCAAGACAGGGATGTGTCTCGAAATAGGGTCCCGGACCCCCAAAATGGCCTTATAAGTTGGTTTTGGCTTCTCTTTGCCAACCAACAGGGGTTCCCCCCAAAAAGGAGAATCACACCAGCGGTTTGGGGCTGTTTAGTTCAACGCGCCTGGCAACAGCTCTATCCTGAACCTCGGCACGTGACTCGCAACCTGACAGCCACTCTGAAACTCCATGAGAGTCATGGTACGCCGAATTGTCGTACAGGACATCGGAAAATCGTGTCCTCCAGTTTGTGGGGGAAACTTACGGAATCAACCATGTTCCTCCATGAAACATTGAATTTAGATATTTTAGATTGAATAGCTTGACTGAACCTCAACATGAGATTTCTAAGACCCTACAAAAGACCTTGCGATTGCCTGAGCCTAATGGCAACCCTGCTTAAGGTTTGGGTTGGGACAAGATCCCCCCACAAATGTTGCCCTTGCGACGTATTTTTGTTGCTAGGAAGTGCAAAAGGCGGCTCGAATCCTTTATATTTCCATCAGCTCGCACAACCCCAACGCCAAGCTGCTCGTGCAGAGCTTGCTGGGACCCCTGCAAGGCATTTGGATCCTCATCGCTTTCACCTTGCACGGGCCAGTTACGCGTTTCTGGTGCTTGTCATGGGAAATCCCCCAGAAATGGTTGGCTTCCCTTTGGTGTCTGACTCAACCAACTCTGAGAAAGGGCCTCCTCTTTCAGCTTCACCTGCCTGAACCAACACACCATGGGAACGCGGCAGGTGCTCAGGTGCCATTGAAAACAATCCACGTGTTTTGGATTTCTGCCAAAATCTAAGGGACTCGTTTAGGAACCCTGGCGCCAAGTAGCGCCACATTGCCACCGAAACCGGGTTCCCTCAAAGGTGTCCCTTTCTTTGTCAACATGATGACCCGGCGGAAAAGAAAGCGGGATCAAGCCTGAACATGAATGACCTCCGCCCCACAGGCCCCTGCCGCACTCGATCGGGCGGCGGCGTGACCTGGCGAGATTGACTCGCCTCTCCCTGCCTCTGTCTATCCGTCTGTCTATCCGTCTATCTGTCTGTTTTCTGAACTGTACAACACCACCCCGTGTTCGTTGCTGGGCTGTCTTCAGATCCCCCGCTAAAATTTTAACTTTCAGTGGGTACCACTAAACACTAACAAGCCAAACACCCGAGGTTTTTTTTTTCCCCCCCCCATTCTTTTCAACCATCGTTCTTTTCAAGAACCAGCTGTTTTCCCAGGGTTCTGGGTGGTTTTGTAGAAAGATTCGGATGAGCGGAAAGAATGGAGCAGCAAATCTACATTTTTGTGGTCCCAGTCGCCCAGTGGATTCCGCGTGGATTCCGCCCAGAAGGAACCCCTAGAAGAAAAAAACACCAAAGGACCGGACGCCTGGGCTTGCCACCCAGGCAACGCAAACGCAACGCCGCTTCGCCCGCTTCGCCTGGAGCGCCGGCGCCGGCGGCTGCGGCTCCTCTCACAGTGTGCGCTCAGGAAGAGACAGATGGCCGTGGATGTCAAAATCCAAATCAACCAAATCCAAGTCAACTTTTTCCAGGGGCATGTCAAAGAACAAAACAAACAACTCAACAGCCCAAAAATACTCCAGGCTTTAAAAAACAATGCCCCAAAATGGCAGCCTGGTAAATGGAAACAATGACTAAAAAACCTGTGGCCCCCTGGTGGCTTAATTTTGACCCAGATGGCCATGGATGTCAAAATCCAAAGCCCGTACACTCCATCAGACTAACAGCCGGAAGCTCCCAGAAGGCCGATCCTGTAAATGGAACTAAGTCTTCCAAAGAAATCCTGGGAGCTTCCATGTTAGTCTGGGGGAGAATTCACCTACCAACCAAAATGGGATCCCAAAACGGTTTTGACCAGCCAAATGGATTGGCTTCAAGCGCGGGTCATAATCTCGGCCCAACTCGATTCTCATGATGCCTGCCCCACAAATCGATTTTCACCCATGATCACCCCCAAAGTGGGAACTCGAAGGGAAACGATTCTTTCTATAACCCAAGGCTGGGCGTTCTCGTTTCAAGTTACCCTACAAGGCCAACCCGCCTCATTTGGGCCATGTACCCTTGCAGCCACTTGCCACCCAAACTCCAAACTCTCAGAAATGGCTCCTGCCCATGGCGAGCAGAAGCAACTGGGACCTGTGGAGTCGCAACGGGCAACGGCCA